CCCGGAAACGGCCCGGCGGGGGATAGAAAATGGCCGGAACTACAAGCAAAATTATTAAAAAGGAGGTAGAATAAATAGAGAGAAAATTAACCATACCCCTGAAACATGAAAGGATGAACATGCAAAAGTGACTACCGTTACAACAATGAAAATCAGGTGTTTGCAGAGGTTTTTTCGTCCATTGGCCTCGAATCATAATAGAAATCATTATGAAACTGTCGGTACATATCAAAAGATACAAAATAATATAAAAAATAGCACCAGTGTGGTGGACAATAATACGACAGAAATTGATTAAAAGTTTTCAAGCGAGCAAACATGTGTTAATGTGAATATAATAAATTACCTATGGAAAGCATGTTAAAAATGTGACAGAACATAGATCACCCCCGGTTTTCATAGTGTTCGTGTTCGCTCAGACTTGATTTTGCAATGTTGTGTTTTGTCAACTGTTGTTTTATCGTTTGGTTGTTTTTCGTTTTGTTTTTTTTTTTTTTGTTTTTTTTTTGCCATGGCAATGTCAGTTCGTTTTCGACTTATCAGTTTGACTTTCCCTTTGGTATCATTCGCTTTTCTTTTTATACCATTCACCGTGTACAATATATGTAAGAAATAAAAGACACAAGGATGACAAAATGTAAAGAAAAATAGGATAAGAAAAACCATCAGCCCGATGTAGGTACATATTAACATACAACAAGCAGCTAGGTCTCTTTATTTATTTTCTAGTATGGCTAAACTAAATTTATTCATTTTTTTTTTATCTAATGATGTTTTGCAAAATCTTAAAATCTCCGGCTGAAATTATTCAGAAAACAAGATTCTTAAGTCAAAACTGACCTAAGACCGTTTTTAACTGTTCTTTATATGTTTCTCTTGGTCATAAAGCTGTAAAATAAATCCCGTTTTTGTACATTTCAGCCTTAAATGGTAAATTATGACAAGTTTTCTAGAAGCACCAATTGTATAAAGTGTTATTTCTTATTAATTAAGTGATTTTATATTGCACGTGGCAAATGTTGAAAACTTGATTTCCAGATTAAGAATAGGACAATTACACGAAAAGGCTTTAATTATGGATTGTTAGTACTCGGAGAACAATACAAGAAATTAAAATTTGGGTTTGATAAAGGATTTGCAAGAGAACTATTGGAGTTTTTTTTCCACAACAAAAGCTCTGTAAACAGTTGTGTTTTTCTAAGACAATGCATAAAACTATTATAAGGTGATTCGAAATAAGAATCTACAACGTAAATTGCCACAGTTTCACTTTTATGAGCGACTTGGTTTCAGGAAGTGGACTGTAAAGGATGTCCACTTCAATGATTTTTTTTCACTGTCAGCTAATTATGTTAAATGTTTACCAATTGGTAAAAACTTAACCATTTATATTGAAACAAGTTAAATGTGTGAAAATCATAAGTCAACAATATCGTAAGATGTATATTTGACTTTTAAGTTAGGAAGTAAAGTGGATATTAGTCTCCGCACAAACGTAATAACAATTCTATACATTTTCTAAATAAAAAATTATAACATATAATGTATAAGTCAAATACCTTACTTGTGTTACCCTGGATTACAAGCATTTGCGCAGATATTGTTCAAGCATGCATTTCTTTAAAATGTTTAGACCATTCATATCTTCAAGACAAAGATGCTATATTCATAACGTGCATTTAAATATACATTTTAACATTAGATGCGTATCAAGAGAACACAGGAACAACTCCACAATATACATTCTGGATTTAATATTGATGATTTAACAGTTAATATGTTTGGAAGAAAACGTAATGACACACTAAAATAACGACATGTATCTTACTCGGATGTATGCACTAACTACAAGGCGACGAGGAGTATTACCCATGTGAGGCAAAATGAATGAGTATTGTGTCACATTTCAGTTTAATACAGAGAAAATAAACATTTAACTCTTTAATTTCTACTTTTATATTTGTAATGCTGAACCATTTTGTTGGATTATCAGTGCAAGAATAATATGAAATTGAGAAAATCATTAAATTGTACAAAGTTGATAGCAACTTTTTACCCGAGTATCCTACTTGATTAACGGACTTTTATCCTGTGCAACATACAAATGCAGATCAACCGACTGATTCCTTGCTGAACTAAACGACACCTTTAATTAATTGAGTATCATGTTTAAAAGTAAAAACAATGAGGGATCACTACAAAATCCTTTGTCGAAAAGTAACCTTGTCTTTGGCCAGAAGGGAAATGACGCAGGGAAAAAACAAATCATACCTAATTCATGACATCAATACAACATTCTAATGGTTGAGCAACTCGGACTTGATATAAAAAACAGTGTGCAATTAAGAACGGTTAGCATTTCCTCATCATTATATGTGGCATCCATCGTTTTAACATGCAATGATACGTGCATGTAATCGATCAAAATGCATAACATGTTAATATCAGTTTAATTAAGTTTGACTAAAAACATTGGTGAGAAGACTTAGGGTTAAAATACTAGTTTATGCATCTTTAAATATCCTTAAGTAATACAAAGTCTTAACCTTATTACACCAGATATAATAAAACACTCTTCCCCGCTCTCTGTATATTTTTTTCATTTTTTTTTTCAAGTGTAAGCCATACTCGAACCTTGAATAAAAAAGACGATAATTATAGACGATAACATGTAGTTAGTGTATTCAGTTTTAAAATTAACTTTCATAATGATTTTTAATGAAGAATGGAAGGAATTAAAATGAAAATGGAAAGAGGTTATTATTATCATAAACACATTTAAAAAGGAAGTCGAATCAATTTCCCTTTAATTTATTTCACACCATTTTATAAAAGTCTTTCGAATTATTTACTTACATTCCCAGTATAAAAGAGAGACAAAAGATAACAAAGGGGATTTCATTGACATGGCGTTGTCGAATAATGAGTTTGAATATCTCTGTTGACTAGTCCTCTCACTTTTACCTCATCTTATTTAAGAAACAAGGTGTTTTAAAGACACTTATCTTTTGTTAAAATTCACATAAAGACCTGTTTTCGTTTGCGATTTGGGGGTGATGCAGCATTGATACATAACGAACATAAAATCTTCTTTAATTCGCACATGTCCGGAATATTACCTTTTCCCGGTGACATATGGCACAGACAGACAACATTAAAAAGATTTATAGCCTTGAAATTCGTTTGCAACATTATAAGCCAATTTTATGTATAACTCTTGTAACCTGGTGTTCTTTTCGTATTTTATTTTAGAGGAAAATTATACCTTGCTTTTATTGCTATGGTAAATAAAAGGGATCTGGGATTGGTTAACTTAATTTATTCATAACCATTATTCACCAGAGTGTTTCTTGTTATACTTATCAAACGTGTCCTTGTTGTAAAAGCGCCAAACAATGAAGAGTTGATGTTTTGTCACCATTTCACGCTCTAGAGGAGATAATAAAACCGTGTACAATATTTTAGTATTGTGAAAACATATTTTACAAATTCATCTTGGTATATGTTGAACACATGTCAATGTTATTTGAGTAGCAATATCGAAAGACAACACCTTCATATATTTTTATTATCATATTAATAATAAATAAACATTTTAGAAAAAAGATTTTATCACGAGAGGTTGTGTCTAACTTTTATTATCGAACTACCATTCTTAAAATAATCTCTATCCAATGCTTAAGATTTACCACAACTAAACAGCAAACATGAAAATAGTTGAGAACTTTTTCCTTGTGATTTTTGGAATATTTGTTACCAGCGTTAACGCACACGTTAAAGACAACAGTAAGTATAGTAGAAAATTAACATAACAACTAAATAGTAAAGTTTGGTCTCGCCTATGATAAATATAGCAGAATGTTAGATATAGTGATGTTAATTTAGCGGTGATGTATAAGGCAGTTTATTTCAAAAGGTATAAGTTGAGTTCATTATAACCATACCTGTTCCTACAGTATAGTCGGGTGTTGCCAAGTTTTTAGTTTTCAACGTAGTGTTTCATAGGCTTGTTTTTCTTTTTGACGTCTTTCGTTTATTGCCATAGCGTTGTCAGTTTCTATTGACTTAAGACTTTTGAATATCCCCCTGGTATCTTCTGCCTCTTTTTTATATAGCTTCATTATCCCCTGAAGTTTGTCCTTTTCTTCTTTTTCTCTGTGTAATGACTGCATAAGAAAATCTGATTGTTGGGATCTGAAATGGCATATGAGATACTCAGATTCACACCTTGGGTCAGGGGCATTTTTGAAGTACTACGATAAGATTTAGTTCCCAGTTAAAGCCTACAGAAACCCGAATACTATGTTAATAACATTTAGTTTGTGAGTTTACGAGCCAAGGTAGTCACACTAACCGAAATGAGTAGTGCAAATATTCCTTTCTTGGGCCAATATATATTTTGATTTTGAGTTTACTTTGATATTTTTTATCGTGTTATGAGCAGGTGCATTCAGAAATTTCTTGCAGATTGTTGATTAGTTGTTATTATCTAACATTTGTAAACAACGTATTGACATTTTAACAAATATGTGTTTGTGTAACGTTACTGAGCTAAGAGCAAAGACTGTTCGGCTAGGAGTAAAATAATGTGATCCGGTAGGTTGACATGTCTTCCTGCTGACTATTAGCGTTGAGAATCCCAGATCCACCAATGAGCATTACAACATGGTATAACTTATCAGTATACTATATCGGTAGTCTTTTTCCGACGAAGTCTGTAATAGTTTCGAATTATCCGCGATTGATCTAATGATGCTAAATCTGTTCTCTGATTTGACGAAAATGTCATTTTGATGTTCAAACATACGTTTGGTTTTTTTTTATTTGTAGCAGGTGCTAGTTTTAAACAGAGATAGCTGAAATAAAAACTTATAACAACAGTACAATTTAAGTTTTCTTTATAAGTTGGCTTTAACTAAAATTACAATGAAAACCTTTGACCATATTTATTCAAATATTATTCAATATGTCCACTCAATACATTGAATTTGATAATTTAGATGAATATTTCAATAACCGTCCCAGAGATTGTACAGACATTGATATCAAACGAAAGAGTGGTGTCTATAAAATTTACCCAAAAGGCTCAGCTGATGGATTTAACGTATATTGTGATATGACGACGGAAAGTGTGAACGGCGGCTGGACGGTAAGACTTAGTTTCAAATCATTTTCTTTTTTATGCATTTCCTGCAAATAATTTACTCTTATGCAGTGTTTAGCTTTCATGCTCTCTATTGTGAATACATAATATACTAGCTAGTAATGAATAATCAGCCTACATGAAGGTACATTGTATACTGTTAAAAAGAAGAAGAAGAAGTATATTGTAGTTGAAGTCCTGTAAACAGTTTCAGATTATTTAAACGGATGCGATACATAGATTCTTACATTTGGACCAGTGGATTTTCGGATTTATCCAATCGAGATATTTAAGAGTGCATTTCTTTCTAACACAAACGATGCAAACGGCTAAGCGCGCACATGTTTTGATCATTTGTTTCTAACATACGTTTGCAAAGTTTACATAAACTTTGGCAAACTATGCACTCGCTAAAAATGCGTCTACAGTTTGTCGTTCATCGTTTGTTAGTACAAACGCTACATTTGTTTCTAGCTTCAACCTGATTAAACGATGTATTTGTTTCTACGTTTGCAAAATGTCTGTTTACCAACAACATGTGCATGCATTATTGGAAGTTCAAACAGGGTCAGTAAACACTGATTGAACGATGTATTTGTTTCTACTTTTGTAGCGTTTAGAAAACAACAGCAAACGCCACACAACGTTTACAAAATTTTGGTTAGAAAGAAATGCACTCATAATTGCTGTATTTATAAATTCCGAGTCTCGGCGAGGACTTAAAAAATCGATAATTTACGTATCAACATTGGATAAATCCGATAATCCACGAGTAACAATGCCAGAATCTGTTTCTCTTATGACTATCAAATACATTTTTATTATTGATAAAAAAAAATTCCCTTCGAGCGCCTTTCTCATTCCTGATTTCTACGTCATACACTTAGAAAATTCATGCGGAAAACTCATTAATGCATCTCTAAATCAAATGGAAGCAAATGATAATAAAAGAACATTTTAATCAAGAGCATTGCATTTAATAAACTATATATTCATATGTTATAGTAAACAACTTCAACAACAATTTCTACAGGTCGAACTATTTCCGTATAGTAAAAGTCTTTTTTAAATTGACAATTTCTCTAACATGTGTTAGCACATTTCGATTCACCCAGAGACCTGAAAAAGGTTTTGCCATTTAAACTTGGCCAATCATCTAATGCGATCATCGGCACCACACGTTGATTTTTTTTTTAAAACAATGGATCCAGGAAGGGTTAAATTGCCAAATAATTAAAGATTTTTATTTTTTTTAAACTATCGTTCACATAGAGGAAAAAATGTATTTGACATGAATATGAATGTAAATTGATATATTCACTGATCCAGATTAGAGTGAAATGGTTATACCAGTCCGTAACAATATTGGTAAACACACAGTCAAGAGTATCGAGTATCATATCGGAGTTTATAATGAGACAAACACTTGACGTCAAGCCCTGGTAGGATGGACTTCTTCCACCAGCTAAAGAAAATGAGATTGATAAATTGATTGCTGATTGCTTAACGTCCATGGGTAAATAAAATGGAAAAGATAATATACTTTTATTTTAATATAATATTCAAAGTATTATTTATCTTTTCGTGTATTAATTTTATATTAGGTGTTCCAAAGGAGAATAAATGGTAAAGTAGATTTTTACAGAGGTTGGAAAGAATATAAAGAAGGATTTGGTAGTCTGCAGAATGAATTTTGGTTAGGTATGAATTATTTGTTAATCATTTCAAAAACAAGACACTGTGCTCTGTCCTATGGTCTTGTTGGATAGTTGTGGCTCATTGACAATCACACAACCACTATACTTACTTAAGAAATAATTCATGCAAGCCTTTGATTTGTTTTAAATTTTCACATGGCCGTTTTAATCGAATGTTATCCCGAGCGTGAGCGAGTCCAGAGTTCAAAGACATTGCACGCTGTTTTATTGAACATAGTTTCAAAGTTCCAAACAAGGTTTTACATAATAATAATAAACAAGATATGAAGGCAAGTAAAAAGTAAATGCAATTGAATGCACATTCCATTCAAAAATATGTTGATGCTCAAATTACATTTAGAACATTGTTACAACAGTTTAGTTGTGTTTTTGATTTAATCCTGGTCTTTCTAATTGAAAATTGATATTCAAATGTCAAAATGGAAGCTCCAATTCACCATATAATAGAATTGACAGTTATGCAGTATTTATATCCAGTTCCAATGTTTTTACAGCGAAATCGACATATATATATATATATATATATGTATATAGTTTTTACACATAGGTTAAGATAAGTGTGGATTTACGGGGGTAGGGGGGTAGACTGTAACAGCAATAAATATGTTCATCTGTGAGTCTTTAGATATATCGAGAATTTCATCAAGCTGTTATGTACAAAGCAAAAGCAGAGCATACAGCATGTCATATTAAAATTTAGTTTTTTTTACATGGAGCATGAGAAGATGGATTTGTAAGGTGTATGGGGTAAAATTTCATAGTAATGCACTGTCTATACTGGTGACTGTAATTGTAGACAATGTCGAATGGTGGTTCTTATGCCAGAATTGGGATGTCAAAGATACCCGTACATGTATACTTAAGTATGGGGGTGAAAGCATATGCAACCACGCCTGCTAAGAATCGATATTTTTAATGAAGTTGAAAAAAAATGAAGTACCAGATTACCTGTATATATGAATGAGTGCGCTCTTAAAACAACAAAGAACTCATTGTTTTTTCACATTTTAAAAGGGGACTGACACTGATGAAGGTCATGTGTTGTGCCAAAATATCTTTCGATACGATTTCCTTTTATCTTGTTCGTTAATTTTTATCTTTTATCAACATCGTTGCACAAACCTTAAGACTTTTATAAATGTGTCTGTCTGTGATGTACAATCGTCAGACTGTCCGATATGTAATTAAAATGTGCTGGTTGCTTGGTTGCTTGTTTTCTTTAGATTCAGTCTCTTATATAAAGGGTCTGATTCGGGGGGCGTAGAGGTCGTACGCCCCCTTTTGATCGAAAATAAACTTTCATTTATTGGCATAAAATAGTCAAAAAGAAATTCGCATCGCTCCACTCGGGATTTTACATTATATATGTTTCGTTTTATGGAGTTAAGCCCTTCTATTTGTGGGTTCCTCCCCTAATATGTATATATAGGTATAAATAGAGAGATTAACTGCACCTCAATTAAATCAACACCGACATCTAGCACAGGACAGCGATTTCTAGCCATTTCAATTGCACAATACCTGATGTCATATCTTTAACTTTCAAATCCTTTCTGAAACGTAGATTTGAACCAGAAGCACCATTGTTTTCATTAGATCTTTGTTTTTAGACTTTATGTTAAATACCTTACTTTTCAGGCAATGACAGACTCCATGTTCTGACGTCACAAGGGAAATATGAAATGATGATAACCATGGAAGATTTCTCCAATCAGAACCGTTATGCTAAATATGATAACGTTAAAGTAGGCGATGAGGAATCAAAATACCTGTTGACTTATGATTCAGAAAGGGGTAATGCAGGTAGCTATAAATCAAAGCTTCTATAATTCTGAATGAGGAAACTTATTTTGCGAGTGTCACTCCTTCAAAAAACAGCTGAAAGTTCAGTATGGTCGCGTGTCCTAAAGTAGGATTCAACAGCATACTTTGTTTTTTCATGGTTTATCTTTTAGATTATCTAGGGAATATTTGGGGAAAAGAAAACTATTTCCTTTCCGTCATCTGCTTCGGATCCACGTCAATATTTTCGTTTCCCATGTATGAATTTGACCCTTATTTAAGAATTGAATGCTTCTTTTTGTAACTTCATTGGGGTGTAAAACGTTGACCGAAGTACATTTTTTATGAAGCGCGGAAGCGCTTCATTCTAAAACTGTGCGCACGGTCAACGGTTTTACAACCCTTTGAAGTTACAAAAAGAAGCATTCAATACTTATAATTATATTTTTAGCTAGAATCATGAAAACACGATTTTTATCAAGTTTTTATTTAATTTACCTGTGCACTTTAATGTGGGACTTCGTGTCATCATGAATGATATTTCATTGTGTAATGAAGTTGATTAAGGAATAACAGGAGATTGCAGTTGGCCAATCAGAATAACGTATTATAATGAAACATACATCTAATGTATGTCGGCCATGTTGGTTGGCGGGATTATCGGACACCTTTTTTTAAATTAGATACCTGGAAAAAAAAATATTATGATTAAAAAAGCATACCCAAACGCATCGTTCCCATATGCAACATCATTTAACCAAAAATAAACAAATATTTAAAAAAAAACACGACGCAACATTTAAAAATGATAGTAACATTTTCGTAAGTCATTAATGAGTTCATAACAAATAAAATAAAAGAATTATATTTAACGGAAATAGTTTAACATTTTTAGCTTATCTGACCCAAAGAGTCAAATGACCTATTTTCATCACATGGCGTCCGTCGTCGTCCGTAAACTTTTACAAAAATGTTCTCTGAAACTACCGGAACAATTGGAACTATAATACTATCATGCCACAATTATTCTTGAGGTTTCTAGTTCTAAAAAAAATGTGTTCGATGATCCTGCCAGGCAACATGACCAACTTAGTTAAAATAGAACATAAATGTAAGATGCAAGCTTGGTAACCGTTAAAGATGGGGAAGATCTGACGGGCAGAAAGGTTCAGGTTTTTGAGATATACCTACTATCAATTTACACCAAAACTGTCAGACTACTTTTGATAGGAGTTACTGCCCTTAAATGACTATGGTTCGCTAGTAAAACAAAAATTCATATTTACCTTTAATCTTGAAAACAAGAAAAGATAGAGAGAAATTTTAAATAACATAGATGATTATCAAGTCAAAATCTACAAATAAATCAACATGACCGAAATTACCCATTTTTGCGTTTTAATCTATTTTTTTTAAAACGATAATAGATAAAGAGACATAAGGAAAAAAGAAAAACGGTCAACAGGGAAAGATCTTTTGGAATTTGTCAAACATCTGAAGTCATTGGTCGACTCCTTATAGGTGTTATTATCCCTACTAAATGGCCATTCTTTACAAACTAAACTGTAAACTTAAAAAACGACCAGAAAGACAATGCAAGATCTGCAAATAAATTACCATGGTTGAAAATGTCCGTCGACTACATGAGTTATTGGCCTTTCAGAATGATTGTTTCCAATTTTTTTGCAAAAAACTGTAAAAGATAAAGAAAAAATTATTAGAAAGATTATATCACCAAAATGAGATTTTAGTCATGAATTATATTCTAGTCCATAATGTTGAAAATACATATAAATCCAGGTGAGCTTAATAAGCATCATACGTAACAAAAGTGATCGTGTAGTTCCAAAGAATATAATTCAGTTGAGTTTTAAACACAGTCCTATTGTTTTCACTCCGTGTTGACAGTAATGAGCTCTACTATATGAGCACTTTTTGGATTTGCCAAATACAACTACCTTTTTACCGATGTTTTGAATTTTTTCAATATGTTGAATGAACATGACAAATTTAGTCACACAGTTCTTCCAAACTACAGAACATATTAATAAGTTCATATTTGATCAGTGATGCATTGCAACGTGTGTGCGCTTTTCGGATCTCTCAGCGGTAATTCCTATTTTCCGAGACTTTGAATAGCAAGTGGAGGTATGCTTAGCATGATAGCGCGTGTTTCTTCTTGTAAATCCTTCATACTAGTACTATTACGATTTTGTAATCAGTAGCAAAGATTAGGCTTCTCAAATATATTATCGTCTACCATCCATTTGATATTGTTCTTGACACAGTGTTAAACTGTTTATTGTATTAACTCTTGAAGGAGAAGTCTCTTCTATGCATAAACTCTCAAATCATGACCATATGCGTATACTCGTATGGTTCGACCATACGCATATTATCGAACCATGCAAGTGTATACTCGTTTGGTTATAAACAGGCCGGACCATATCAGTATTTAAACCATATATATAAAATGTCTGAATAATAGCCAACGATAAATCTTACGGGGCGATGGATCATATAATTATGATACAGTACACTAAAAAATAAAATATATATTAAGCAAGTCTAAAAGGGTACAACATCACCAAAAACATAAAATATGGACAACTGTTAAATATTTCGGATAACTATAATCGATGTCAAATGGTTCTTATCTTGACATGTGGTAGTCACACTGTAATAGTAATCTTGATCGTTATACAAATTATCACGAATCAGTACGCTGGTAATTTTTTTCAATATTGATGTTTAGGAGGAGGAATAAATTCCTTAAAACTGTAAGAGTCCTGTTCTGAAGCCTGAGTTACTGGAAACAAGTGATGGTAGGGACTCATTCTATGTTTTTTCATTAATGCCCTCTGGGGAAACTGTCCTTAACTTCCTTATCCAAAAACTTTCCCAAGCAAGTCTGTCGGCCCTTGACCAAACCCCAACGAGTTATCCGAAATATTTAACACTTGTTTATGACTTTATTTTTTTTTTGTGATGTTGTGCCCTTTTAGACTTGCTTATTTTATATATATATATATATATATAGATAGATAGATAGAAAGATATTTTTCGAATTAATCCTTACTTCATTTGCTGGAACATACAGTTCGTTTTCCGGACCAAAATCGACACAAACGTTTTCGTCCTTAAGTGATACCAAAGGCGTAAGGGGCATGTAACATTTCACATTTCACTCTCCCACCACCCACCACCCCACAACCTAATTAAAATTCCGTCTGTTCCCATTGATTTGTCGTACTAATTTTCTGGAAATTGTGCAGCTGTTTACAAAGGAGCCTGGTGGTATTACTCATGTCATAGTGCTAATCTGAATGGACTCTACCTATCCGGAAAACATTCCTCTTATGCTGATGGAATAAACTGGTCTACGTGGAGAGGTCCTCATTACTCATTGAAAACCACAGCAATGATGATAAGGAGACTGAAATAAAAAAATAGAAAAAAAAAGATTTTTGTATCGTCTGCATGAAAATAAAAACATTCTACCATATAAGTCGTTCATTCATCGTACGTCAGTTCCCTCGTCAGCGCACACATCACGTTGTGCATGTTTTTCCTGCAGAGTCCTAAATGGATTGAAACTACATATACTTCATTTGAACGTTGGTGGCTAGTTGTCTCATTTGCAATTAAACCACATCCCCTTTTTTATATTTACAGTTTTTACACTGTACAAAAAGTTCTAATCGAGATCATTTTTGACTGGTGTTTACCCAACGAGTTGGACTATTGCGCCAGTACAGGATGACGTATGATGAGAGCCATTATTTTACCTTGAAATTATAAAATTTGTAGAATTAAACAAGACTTTCAAAACTATGTTTATTGCATTGATAAATGAACAGGTTAACATAATCAGGAAACTTTAGTGCAGAAAGGTCACAAGTTGAAAGACCTAAAGCTTCGCCGAAAAAGATATTTTAAAGATATAATCATCTTTATACAATACATTTGGAGGCAAACTATTTTTTGGGGTTCTGATATCAGTCCGACTAATGAAGATTTGAATAGATATAGGAAGATGTGGTATGGGTGCCAATGAGACAACTCTCCATCCAAATTACAATTTATAAAAGTAAACCATTATAGGTCAAGGTACGGCCTTCAACACGGAGCATTGGCTCACACCGAACAGCAAGCTATAAAGGGCCCCAAAAAATTACTAGTGTAAAACCATTCAAACGGAAAAACCAACGGTCTAATCTATATAAAAACGAGAAACAAAACACGTATGAACCACATAAACAGACGACAACTACTGTAATCAGATTCCTGACTTAGGACAGATGCAAACATTTGCAGCGGGATTAAACGTTTTAATGGAAGAATGTTCTTGCTAGATTTATTATACTTTTTGGGTTTCAAATCCATGAGACCAAAAATAGTAGCCTTATTATCAATTGCCAGTCTAATTTACATACAAGCCCCTCGGGAGATAGGAATAAACAGTCAACCGTATTGTCGATATAAAATTACCCCCAACTTATTGTTTAAGTAATTTTATTTTCATCTTCTGCAGACACGTCATCGCCGCCATCGGATAATTAACATTCTTTTGTGATGCGTCTTGAATTAGTAAAAAAAAACAATGGACACATTTACCAGTACAGCAGCCGAATAACTTGTATGTGCTCTTTATGTCACCTGATCCACAGGACCAGGGTTAACTTTACCTACCACTTGGCGTGCGCCGTATGTCGTCGTCCGTTAATTTTTACAAAATTCTCCTCCTCTGAAACAACTAAGCCAAATGTAAATGAATTTAACACAATCATCATTGGGGTGTCGAGTTTTGCAAAAGTGTCCGATGACACCGCCTGACAACCAACACTGCCAACATAGCTTAAAATAGATCGAAACGGTAAAATTCCAGTTTTGTGTATTATCTTGAAAAGCGATATATGCATTTTATGATGGTATGATACTAAGCCCCTAACGAGAAGGATTGTGCTTGATTTTCATATGATGAAGACATAATCTTTCAATCAATTTAATTTAGATCTGAAGCTGGCATGTCAGTAACTGCTAGTAG